ACAGGCTCAACATCCACACGGTATCTGCATGGGAGCTGAGCACAGTGTCCCCCAAGAGCRGTGGGTGCCAGAGGATAAAGTCCTGCTGCCGCCGTGAGCTTTGCAGGTCGTGTGAAAATCAGAGGGTGCCAACTACAAACGAGCCACAGCCTCCATCTGCCTAACGGGATTTGTTTAGAAACTGAGGAAATTACCTGTTAAAAAAAAAAAAAAAAAAAAAAACATGTTTGGAGACCGGCAATATCAGGCATTCCAAATCCGGGAAATGCCCGGATCGCGACCGCCTGCGCAGCGCTGCGTTTGGCCCCGGTGCTCGTCCACACCGCCAGGCAAATCTGTAATCACTGGATCGCCTGCAGTTCCTCTCCCACAAGACCTCGGCCCTGCTCAGGCCTGGGGATGGCTCCGCTCCCCGTGTGCAGCATTAGTCATCATTTCTTTTCATTATCATTCAAGTTGTTTCCTCGTTCCCTCCTCCTCTCTTCCCCTTTATTCAGCATGCTCCAGCCGACGGCTGCCAGCAGGGATTACGTTCGCGGCACCTAATCTCGCTATCCTCGGCACGCTCCGTCTCCGAGCCTCCCATCCCGGCGAGGCAGCGACATTCCCTCTCCCCGTCCCATATGGGGGAGGGAGGCCTCAAGAAGCTGAGCGACTCGACCCGGTCACAGGGCAAAAATGCAAGAGCAGGGAGCTGACACGGGCGCTCGGCTCCCAGGCYGCCCGCCCACCGCCGAGCGAGCCTTCCCTGCCCGCGCGGAGGGACTCGTCCCTGCGGTTCAGCTGCTGCTGCAGAGCTCGCAAACGCGGAATTCATCTGCACGGGACGTTCTTCCGTAACAGAGGAAAACAAGCGAAGAGGAAATCGAGTCCAAATGTCCGTTGCTTTGGGTGCCCAGCTCAAGACTGGCAGGGCCCCAGTTTCCAGTGTCCGCAGCACTGGAGGGCACAGGGCTTTCTGCACGAGTCTCAAGTGAGGCACCCAGAAGCTGAGGAAGGCAAACTCAGCAGACACCTGTGAACATTTGGGCTTGAGAAGGTGCAATAGCATTGAGAAAGGGCACTGGAGCAGAGGCAGGGACAGGATCCAGCTCTCCCGGGCAACATTTAATAGGCTTCACCATGAGACTATTGTGATTTTTCTGCAACTACCTGCCTCATTCATTAGACACCTTCTAATTTTGATAAACAAATGAAATGTAAGTCCTACAGGCGAGAGTCTGCTCTGCAGCCCTGATTCACCCCCAAACCACGTTCCATCTCTGTGTACTGAATGAGGCAAGCATCCTTTGGGAAAAATACAAAGCACCATTCAGTTAGATTATGTATTGAAATGCACATGTGTAACAGGGTCAAGCCTAAACTGCAGAGACTCTTCTTGAGCTATTTCATAAATCCTGGCTGCTTGATTTTGCAGTTAAGGAGAATTCTTTAGCTATAGGTTTGTTTTCAGTGCAGCATATTGGCTTGTATGTCAGGGTTTGCAGCAATATCTGAAGCACAACACGAATGTTGCACATGATCAAAGGCTTGAATGTCATCTCCCCTAGAACAATGACTGCCTAAAGCAGCAGGAGCAGAAATTATCTGAAGGTAGTGTTGAACAAACCTCCTTCTCCCCTCTGGGGAGAGTAAGCAGTCCAGGTGAGCAAGGTAGGAGGGGAGAGGAGTCTACTTTGTGCGAGCCGAGCACAGGGCTCCACATAAAAGCAGGCGAGCTTTGCAGAAGCATGTCCTGACTCCCAGCGCTGGAGACTTAATGATGGTAATTCCCAAAGGATGATGCATGCTGACAGGCTTTGACACAAACTACCCCAGGATAATATTAATATGTATTAAAGGCTCAGGCAACTTTATTGGGAAGGGCTTGATCAGTAACACATTTCAACAGAGCGTCTCCATCACCTGCCTGAGCACAAGGCAGATGGGGAGGGAGAACACACGCGCACGCTCACCTTGCTTCGGGTGAGTTTAGGGACAAGCCTGGCTGATCCATGCCGATTTGTAAGCTTGGCGTGGCCCAGATGTTGRGCCCAAAACCCTGGACATTTCCCCACGATTACGAACGCCACTTTGGGGCATTAATATCAGAGCCTGCCTGCACATTGGGCACCCCTAACCCTGCAAGGCAGGGCCGGGTGCCTCCCAACACGTGCGGAGGGAGCCGAGTTTCAGGGCACCGCTGTCACYCTGCCTGGGAAGGGGGCAGGGAAGAAAGACCTGCAGAAGCCTTTGATCATGTGTAATGTTAATGCGAGTGTTACACATCAGAGACTTTGCCACGGTAACTGGCATATAAACAGGAGCCTAGTGTTAACAAGGGGGACTTCTTGAATGTGTTTGTACTTTCCTGAGTCAAAGCAATTTCCCTATTCAACAATACATGACACAGTGGAAGAAGTGCAGAAATAAACCAGCCTGACATGCTTAGACCTTTAATAGAATTTAGCTTCTTAGAACTAATTAAATATTACTTAAATGAAAAAAAAAAAAATCCAAATACTTGGGAAACGTGCCAATTTGACAGCTCTGGAAAATGAAATAATCTAATCATCCCCAGAGCATGGGCAGCAGCAGGACAGGCTTCCCCTACTAACATGCCTCAAACGTGACCTGGAAAGGCTGTTGATAGAAGCGGGGCGGATAATCTCTGCGGTCTAATGACTCCCTGCCTTTTCTGCTGAGGCTGCTAAAACGGCTCCTGCCACGTCCCAGCTGCGGCGCTGATACGGACACCTGTCTGCTAGGAGCGGCCCCRGGACCTGCCAAACTCCTGTCATCCGCGGGGCGGCCCTCGGAGCGCCCTGGGCTCGGGTTTGGGCCCGGCTTGGCCCGCGCGGCTCCTCTCCGGCCTGGCTCCACTGCAGCCTGTGAGATGTAAACAGGAGGTGCTGTGTTTAGTCTGCAGGTTTGGGCTTTCGCTGCACCAAAGCTTGGGCCCAAGAGGAGTCAGGCTCTGCCTGTCGTTCAGTTGCGGATGGGATTTTTCCGGCTCCTTGTTCCTTCCCCAGGATGGGGAAAAGCCCACAGGAGAAGAGGCCTCCTGTTTCCTTGTCTCTATGTAGTCCCTTGGCTTAGCTGCCTTTGCAACAGCCCCTGTGTCGCAGGGATCTGCTCCGAGCTGCCAACTCTCCCCGCAGCCCGTCGCGGGGCCTGCGCTCCCAAGCGAGGAAGGAGGCGAATCCTCTCCGGGCCTCGCTCGGGAGGCCTCGCCGGCCTTGCCAGCTGGGCCAGCCCAGAGCTGAGGGATTGAACCGAAAAGAATTTGGTTCCTCGGTTCCTTGGATTTCCAATTCCTTGGAAATGGYGGGTGCCACAGCTCCTTTCCCTTCTGAAGCGCAGCCACACGAGCCTCCCTCCCCCTTCTCCGGCTCCACAAGGGACTGCGGAAGCCACACGAAGCCTCCCATCGCACGGCGAGCCAAGGGCCTCCGACACTCCCCCATGCATCTCGCACAACCGGGTGCTCCTCCTCTCGTCCCCGGCTGCTTCCAGCCTCCCTGCCTCCCCYAGCCGCGCTCTCCTCCATGGCTCCCACCGCAGGGACAGGGCAGGAGCCAGCAGCAGAGCTGTCACCCAAGAAGAGAAGCTCTGATACATCTACCTTGTGCAGGAGACAAGATGGGGAAGGTGCTTCTCCCCACCTTGCAGGAGCCACAAATTTCCCACCTTTCCCTCCTGTTTACTAGAAAAACTTATCTAATTCTCAGTGCACAAGTAACAGGCACAAAAGTAACCAGGAGCAAACGGGTTAATGTTAGCTACATGTCTGAATGGTGACCTAATCATTGCCATTCTTCACTGTTTAGAGGTTACCTGACTACTCTACACATCAATACACTTCAAAATGTGATGTAAATGCAAACAAACACTCTTATGTTTGGAGTTAACACAGTCACGAGATCCTGTGTATCATGTGTTGGCAGGCACAGGAGCCAAGAGCAGATGACCCACCCTTAAACCTGACCGTTTGCTGTTAATCATTACAGGAGTGCTGCCTTTCCCAGTCCGTGCAATCAAAGCCCACAACCTCTTTGAAAATCCCTACACAGAAATGGTTCTAGCCAAGATCAGCTCCTTCACCAGTCTCACAGATTTCCTGGCATGATCTCCTCCAGACTTATGAACACAGGCAGCGGAATACCTTGAAAACAAGTCACTGGAAGGTTAATTGTCACTCTGTAATCTACAGGTCTGAGACAGACCTTTGCCTTAGGAATAGGAGAGGGAGGAAGGCTATAGCAACAGCGAAGGCAGRAAAGTACTGCATGTCTAGAGGCTCTCAGATATGGGTTTCTCCACATAAGTTTACAATCAGGAAGAAATTAAAGGTCAGAATTGCACTAAGGCCTCATACCATCAGTGCATCAGTAGAGAATACCCTCAACACCAAGCAGATTGGGACCTTCCAAGGAAAATCCCTTGTACAGAAAGACTGTGAGGACAGAARTTGTGTGGGTGCTTCAAGTAACTGCTGCATTTGTCAAGGAATCAATAGGAGAGCAACAGAAGCAAAGACGGCAGCGCTTTGTGTGCCGCTTCCTCTAAAGGATGATGTAAACCTGAGATCCTGACTCTGAAGGATCAAAGTCCCACAGCTTTCTCTTGAGATCTGCTTGCTAGCTCTTCYGCCCTGCCTCCATTCTGGTTTAGGTCATTCCACTCTGCCTCCCCAAATTCCTTTAGGGAATAAATCAAAGTAAATACAGCCTGCAAAGTTTTCTGCARCTCCAGGAAATGGACACTCCTGTATTCACAGACTATTTCAGAACTTTCCAGCCACTGCTTGTCATTTTGAGTACCATTAATATAAACAGCAACACTTCAATATTATTTTTTGCATATATAACTACTTGATAATACTATGCAAGAAGCATCAGAGATGCTGCAGCAGGGAATACAGGCTTGCTGTACTTTTAAGCCACACTAGTCCTTCAGAGGATCATTTTCAGAACACCAGAAAGCAGGACAGGGGAGAAAAAGAAGGAAGGAGCTCTCACTTGTAACCAAGGTCCATGTGCTGCATAGGGGTGCTCTTCTGTAGCAAAGGCTCCTTCTACTCCTGTTGATACAAACGTGATTGCTGTATCCCCTGTAATGCTTTTGTATGTAAAGTGCCGTCCATGTAACAGCCTTCCCCTGTGGAATAAAATATGTGAGTGTGAACCAAGCCGTTGTAAGCTGCATTTAACAAAGGGACGGAGAAGTACGTGAGATGTGAAAACGTATTTCAAGCAGGTCCATGAGTGGGGCCAAACCTATCCACTGACACAGCACCTGGTGGTCCCTTGCCCTGGCATTAGACAAATATAATCTGCACTACTGAAGCAAGAAGTACATGCATGACCATCAAAATATCTTTTTTTTTCTTTTTTCCTTTCATTCAGTGCTTTTTACAAGGCAAATCATGACTCTGGTATTTAGGCTCACAGTCTCCTAGACACCAATGAATTGCTTCCAGTACATACCTGGAAAAACTCCAGGTAGGATATATGGTGCCTAACAACTGAGTCACAGTTGCCTGATGCATTATTTCTGGTCAGCTGAGCTGTGGTTGATGACCAGGACTGACTGCTAATACATTTGAAATGCAGAATAAAATACGTTCATGTTAACTATCGCACTGCATTTCTCAACAGGCAAGTGTACACTTGTTGTTGATAACTCTGGCTCCACAGACACGTAACACATTAAGCCAATTAATTCAATCACTTGCAATCATTTGTGTCTATCCTGCAGTTCATCTCTGTGTTAAGGATAACAACACTTGGCATGAGTATTTTTTAAATTAGTACTGACTGAAACGTGAAAACCTAGAAAAGTCACTGATAGTGGTATGAGCAACCTGAACCTTTAAAAGATAATGTGTAGAGCATGCACACAATGTTTTGTATCTTCCAATATATAACTGGCAGAGTTTGTCTACAAAACACTTCCATGCAGGAACTGACTGCAACTAGGCTTTGTACGAACACTTGTATTAAAGTCCACAACCCAGAGTTAACAACYTAAAAGGTTTCTGTGACAAAAAATTGTAATGCATCCCTTGTTTATCACAGAGTTGTCAGCATTAAACTAATAAAAAAAAATCCTATACAAACCCTGTCCTGTTTCAGCACTCAGAATACACTAGAGGAAATAAAAAGAACRAGAAACAATTTTACCATGATGAACACATATGCAAAGCATCATCTGCTTCTAATGTGTTTTGGCAAATATCTCAGCTCCGGCCTTTAAAGATCTTTTGCATGCATGTGTGCATGGTGAAACACTGCTACAAAGCAAAGCCAGCACAGAGCTGAGGAGGAGGAAGAGGAGGAGGACGAGGAGGATGAGGGGAGTTTCACTCACCTTAGGCAGAGCGGAATCAGCGCTCCGGACTCCTGGTTGAATTTCAGGTGTACGCTCTCCAGCTGCCTCGTGCGGATGAGCTCGTGAGGAATGATCGCTGCTGAGCTCTCGCTTTCTAAACTGTCCTTACGGCTTCTAAGGGAAGAGACACAGGGTCCRTACTTAGGATGCTAGCAGTATGAAAGAAGCACCCGCCAGTTTCTGCTGTGATTCAGGCTGGTGGTGCAAAAACAGAAGGACACAGGGAGCAAACTGCTATCAAGGCATATCTGAGTTGCCCCCGACCCCTACAGAGATGCAGGTCCCCTCAGACTACTTTCTCACCTTGATTTGATTACTTGGCTCATCAAATGATGGTGCTTGCCTTCACAGATTAAAAGAATTATATTTCTGTGAAAAACTGAAGATAAATAACACTCAGATCCTGAAGGACTATAAAATGGTTTAGAAGAATTATCTAAACCATGTTGTTTTCTCTTGTGTTTTCTATTCAGGGATTTTTTTAGACAACAGTCTGCCTAGAAGAGCTGTCCAGGCTCTTTTCCCCTTGCTTAAACATTTTTAAGGTCACGAGACATCCCTACAATTCCTCCCAGATCATCTCCTTCCACTCCACCAGCTCRAACGAAACAGTCACAATACAAAATCTGTGTGTGATGTGCAGGACATCTGCAGATGGCTCTCCCTTTGTGGAGGAAATGGGGCCACTTTAAGACAATGCAGACCTTCTTTCTTATTCATTTATTCATTTCCGCAAGGGCAGCGTGTTGTGAAGCTACGACTAAAGGTTAGATTGTTACATGATTAGGAACTTTGCCAGACAGAATCCTCCAGATAATTAAACAGGTATACCTCCAAATACTTGATCATAAACATTTTATATGTTCAAAGAGCAGCAGGGTGACCCCTTATTTGATGGTACAGAATAAAGAAGGAAAGACGCAGATCCTTTTGCTCAGCAAATTTACCATTTTAGAGGATGCCATGAATGCAATGCGTCTGACAAATGGTTTATATTTATCTGACCTGGTCACCCATGTGAATTCAACAGAAGCAAGACTTTTTCTTTTTTTGAGAGAGTTTCTATAATACAGAATCGCTACAGGAGGTGGACAGTGAAAGGAAGAAGGAGCTGAGAGAAAAAAAAAGGGGAAAAAAAAAGAAAAAAAAGAAAAAAAAAAGGGAAAAAAGAAAAAAAAAAAGATGTCATATTATAACATAGTTTTAATTTGCCACACAAAAATGAAATAAGGCTACCAGGCCATAGCTCCGTTTGTGAACATGGTTGCGACATGCCTGGCTCCCTCTTGTACCCAAAATGGGATCCACCTCTAATATGTATATAGAAAAAAATGTAAAGCATCAGCTTAACCCTCAGATTTTATTTCCTTATCTCCACTTGATTTTATGCATGGGCGTTGTCCCAAAATTATTCTCATCCACGACATGCAGACATGAGAACAGAGTTCAGCGTGGTTTCCAAACCAGAGCAGCCTTTGCCAAGTCGCCAAGTCCTTGTCAACTGCCCACTCTAAAATGAGGATACCACACTCGGCATGTCCTCCTGCAAATATCCAGCTTACCGAGGACAGCCATATGCACAAAACCCCAAACCACCACCAAGAAAAGCAGCTCAGCTCCCTGCATGTCCCAGGTTCTGCCTTAAGCACATGTAAAAGCTGTAATGGAGCCAGCAAAGGCACAGTAGATTGGGATAGATTGGGATACTGCTTGCGTGGGGCGGGATGGGATGACAGTCAGCACAGTGTCAGCCTGGTGGGTTAACCCTGTGCAGAGACACATCATGCTTTGTAGTCTATAGGTGGCACTTAAAGCTGTGTTTAATCTAGCTCAGCAAACACTTTACAGCTCCTTGTAGGTGGGGCCTTGAAAGCTACAGTGGGCCAGCATTTTGCAGGCTGATTACCTGAGAAGTGCAGTTGATTAATGATCAGTTGACCTTAAGCTAAGCTTTGCTTGAACTTCCTTATCAGATCTTATATACACAGAGAGCTGTGGGAAAGTCGGCCTGTGGTCTACAGCTCCCAATCACTCATTATCAATGCCCGCCAAAAGGGTGGGCCATCAGCGACACCGATTCTCATGCAGGCCCTAAGCTCGCGCTCATTAAACGCCGTCCCAGAGTTCATGTACCCTGGAGCAGCTGGGAGTTATAGGGCAAGGGACAGATATTGCAAGGGACAAGACACTGTGCCCTTCTCGGCCCCTTGGCTAAGGGAGCTGGGCAGGTCCCTGCCACCACCTCCCGAGGGCTGCAGCTTCATCCTGCAGGAGGACAACCCAGGGAAGACATCTCAATAAGACCACCAGCTCCAAACCTCTCTGCCCAGAGAGGTTGTGGAGTCTCCTTCTTTGGAGATCTTTAAAACCCGCTTGGACGCAGCCCTGTGCCCCGTGCTCTAGGTGACCCTGCGTGAGCAGAGGGGTTGGACTAGATGACCCCTGAGGTCCCTTCCAACCTTAAGCATTCCATGATTCCATGAAACTGGGARCAGAAAGGGGCTTTTCAGTTTCGCCCGTGCTAGCAGTACAGCTGCCAGCACAACGGGGCCGTGGTCCTGGRGGGAAAAGGCCTCCGGCTGCTAATGTAATAATGGGAATGACGACACTATTCTGGAGGCAAGGGCCAAAGCCTTCCCCCTCTTATTAAAAACAGCAAACGCTGTTTGTCATTACATGCTCAAGAGGAGCTGTTGACTAATGTATAACTATCAAACGGAACTGTCATGGCTTTAAGGCTGTCAATAATTATGACTTCACATTAATAAGTAACCAGCCTTTCTGTCAAAAAGGGTGAAGGAGCGAAGGAAAATGGTAGTTAAATCTTTGAATGACATGAAATTATTAATCCTTTCCAGAAAACTTTCCCAAAATAGTCACGGTCTCCGTGTTTCACTTTGGTGGATCTCTCACAATTTCAGCAACATAAAGTTAAGGGAGAAACTGCAACAGCAGAAACGAAGTAACTTAGCTCTACCTTTCTAAAGAAGAGTTTGGTGTCCCTTCTGGGCATGGTGAGGGTTGGACACAGCTCAAGGGGTCCCAAGTCTCTCTACTCAGARTTGTGCTGTAGCATCCACTTTGTTGCCCTCGTGGAAACTGCAATTACAGCTGTGGAGCTGAGGGGACCAGTCCCACCTCTCCAGACAGGGACCCCCCAGCACTTGGCTCTGGTCCCAGGTCCTGCTGTGGTTTTGTGAGGGAGCTTTTGTCCCCAAGCACCCTCTCTGGGATGCAAAGGAAACGAGAAGGTGATGAGCATCCCCATGCCCAAATCCAGTTGGTGGGCACGGTTGGACCCATAAGTTGGTCCATACCCTCCACTAAGAGGACTGCTTTCCTCACTACTTTTATAACCTGAGACAAGTAAATTGATAAAAATAAAACAAAACAAAAATGTTCCTATGCTGCTTTCAAAATTAACAAGCTTAAAGATGTTTGGAGATGCTCATTTAGAATGTGCACGAGGAAGGTCACAAAGTAGCCCTGAGTTTGAGGCTCTGGAACATGTATCATGACACGGGGACTCTGCGAGATCCATTAAAATTCTTTCATGGGAAATGGAAATCCTTGTACACGGACACTTCCAGAGGGCGATGGCCCAGATGAAGGGTCGGTGGGACTTCTGGAGTGTCATTAATAAAAAACTCCTGTCATAACACATTCTGCCAGCCACAGCTTGTAGTTTTCAGCTTTAGGAGGAAACGTAGAAAAAGTTTGTTCTTTAAGACTAACATCTCTGATTTTACGACTGTCAGTTACCCGTACGCCTTTGCTTCCTCCACCCCATCACCAAATAAATCAGCAGCAAAAACTGGTGGAGTTTAAATTGTTATGACTAAGATCTAGCTGACTATCATGTAAAAATGTTGCAAACTCTGCCTATTCCAGATTTAATGCTTCATCCAACCCACACAAAAAAAAAAMCATGTTTCTCAGTGTCCAGAAAAAACAAGTCTGCAAAAGCCAGGGCTGCTGCATTAGGAAAAAGCTGTAGATTTAAATGGAAGCAGCATGCCGGAAATGTCCCAGTTTAAGGACTGCATATCTAGTGTTTTCTGAAACTGGAGGGGAGCTGGAGGAGATTAAAGCGCATTTCCCTCTGATTGGGAGCTTGTGGGAGGTGTAAACGTGGGCAGTTGTCAGATTAATTCTTTAGATGATTACATTCTTTTTGTTTCTTTAAAGCTGTTTGTAGTTGGGTTTGATGTCTCCTGTTTTGGGCAAGTGTATTGCTGCAGTTACCAAGGTGACTTTAGCTGACTTTCAACTATTTTTTCCAGCTTCAGTTTCCACCAGTAGTCTGCTCCTGCGTGGAGGGGAGAGGGAGGAAATGATATTGCTAGTTTTGTCTTAAATCTCATGAATGAAAAGCGACAGTCCTGAGCTCAACCACAGCCATATTTGATTTTAAGCAGGRTTTCTGCAAGAGGGGTGGTCAAACTGTTGCAAACGGCTCAGACATGGACTACGGCCTCCCTAAATCTCCGGCAACAGGTAGGAAGGGCCCGAGGAGGCTCCGTGTCCCCGTGCGCTGCGCTCCTCCTTGATGGGTGCAGCCGCACGCTGGAACCTGCAGCCTCTCCTTGGGGCCCCTCTCTTTGCATTACGGATAAGGGTGGCTGCAACCTGCTTCGTTTTATGCCAATTAGCAGCAGCCCTTGGGGTCCTGGAAAACGGCCAGTGCAATCACCGGGTTGCGCAAAATTGGGATGTCCTCTCCTTGTAAGTCATGTTTATGGCAGCCTCTCTTCAAGCAGTCCTGATGGCAGTTGTTTTATGGGATTTAAGAATAACCAGGTTGATCGGATTAAGAAATCCTATCTTATTTATTCTTGAATTTGCCTTTTGCTTTATGATCAGAGTGCTTCGTCCTATGGATCTGTAACTGAAGCAGACTTCAACTTCCTTTCAAGCTCCGTCACGGAGCATGATTCCTCCCCATTCCCAAATACTGAAATCCTCAAGGAGAGGCTGCTGCAAGCTGTTCACAACAGACTCTGCAGGAAGAGGTTGTGTCCCTCCACGAAATCTCTATTTCAAACTTGCTTATCCCTTAGTGAAGMTCCAAAGATCACCTAAGTGCCAGCAATTTCCCAGCGTCTTTCCCACAG